TCAATTAATGCACCTATCAATGTTTTCCCCCTGAGGGGGGGGTGCGGGCAACCCACGGGAATTTTGACATTTTTCAAATTTTGTCGTCAAAATCCCCACTGTTGGGCAAGGAATGGCTGTCAAAATTCCCCACTATATTCCTAAGATAACAAGGCACACACATGTTTTCCAATGCGAACATACAGTCTATACTGGTTCAAACTTGGTAAAAATTGAGACACTGTGTATAAAAGGCTATAAAATACCTTTTTCGATGAAACTTGATCGTGCTTCTCCGCCATACTTGTTACCAGGCCTTTCAATGTCAAAACCGCGCAAACTTTCAAGATGGCGGATGTCAAAATTTCCCGACTATGGGAATTGATGCATAGGTCAAATTCCCCTCACTAGGGCTTCATAGTGTGGTCAAAGTCCCCTGGGTCGCCCGCACCCCCCCTCAGGGGGAAAACAATGATAGGTGCATAATAAGGCAAAGTAGCCATTGTATTATATATAAATGGCCGAAAATGCTCATGATATTGCAGCCGAAACTGCAACTGTGACTGCTCATCAATTAAATTAATTGCAATTGAATTGTTTAGAGACATGGATGAGTAAAATCATCTAGCATTTGAGTTAAATAACAAAGCAACACTAGTTCAACTTAGCATGCATATTTAACCATTAAGATGCAGAGCTTCCCATTGACGAGTAAAATCGTCTGGCGTTAGGGACGGACCATTATTTTTTTGGAGGGGAGGGGATGAAAAATTCTTAAAAAAAATGTTTGCAAAGACAAAAAAGTGCAAATAAATTGTTTGCACACGTAGAAAAGAGGAAAAAAATAGTTTGCAAGCTAATGAGATTATGCAACATCAACCAAGGTTAATGACAATGAACAGAGTGCTCACCAACATACCCAGGGTCTTCACTCCAAAGCCCTGGGATGGGACACGCTGGGCACATGTTGCAATCTACATATGGGTTAAATATTAATCTATTTAATACAGTCATTTCTTGGGGGGGGGGGTTCTATTTTTTGGTATTTTTTGTATAAAATAGGTAATTGGACAAGTACTGGTGTAAGACATTGTGTAGCGTAAATAATGAGAGGACCAGTATCAGGGCCTCTTTAACATACAAGCGGTGGGGGGATGTCTGCCTTATGCCCCCTCACGAAATCACATTTTCCTTTTCATTTCCCTTTTTCCTAAATTTACACAAACAAACCAGCGAAAAATAACAAATTGATAAACAAAAAGTAAGTCTTAGGCTTTATCCTTTCTCCTTGTTTAACAAAATCGATTTAAATTGTTACGTTTATCTACCTGGCACTAAGTAATGATAAATTATTGTTAATAATTTTTTATTTTTTGTGCGTTTTTTCCTTCTTTTATTTCAAATACAAGTATACTTAGCATAAATTTTAGAGCAAATTTAAATGCTCAGAATGCAGGAAATGGCATTTCAGGGCTTCAAATTTCAAAAATTTTCTGGGGAAAGATGCCCCCAGACCAAGTGGCCGTCAGCCATTCCTATCCTCCTCCAATATATTATCTCACATAAAGGTCCCCCCCCTCACACGGGAAAATCTTTAAAAAAGGCCCGGACCAGTATACCAAAAAAACTATTAAATGTCTGTTTACATATTAAATTTATACTTCTGACAACACCACATGTTGTTCGATCACCAGCGCCGTAGCAACCGGGGGGGGGGCTGCAGCCGCCACAACAATTTGCTAATAATTATTCATTTTTCAAAATCATGCAGACCTTTATCATTTAATTCATGACAAACTGCAAAGAATGAAGATATTACCCATACTTTCCTGCAACTTATCCAATATAAAGTTTAGTACTACAGAATTGTAAATTTCGCTGTTTTCTGACCATCAGAATTCTGTCAAATCTTCCCCAAAGTCCAGGAAATAATGGCATTTCAGAGACTCTAAATTTAAAAATTTCCTCGGGTCTTCGGTCCTCGCTTTCAGCCACCCCTCCCCCCAATCGAAAAGAGCTTCCTACGGCCCTGATCACACATGCAATAGTGTAATCAGGCACAAATTAAACTATATATATCAATTTATAATGAAATCCACAGCAATCAGATGGACAAAAAAATTGTTTGCAGAAGGAAGCAGGCGCAAAAAAATTGTTTGCAACGACAACAGCACCAAAAAAAATTGTTTGCGTTGACGAAATGTCCTCCCCCCCCTCCAAAAAAATAATGGTCCGTCCCTTAGACAAGTGAAAAAAAAGAAGGACGGATTGCAGCTCAATGGGTTAATTAGAGACATTGTCAGATTTTTTGGTTAACCCATTAAGCTGCAGAGCTTCCCCATTGATGAGTAAAATTGTCTGGCGTCAGACAAGTAAAAAAATAAGTAGGGCGTGTGACTGGGTTAAGATGTTATTTACTTGTAAACACTGTCTCTGATGATGTTGCAGATAATGAAAGCTCAGAATGGGTTTGCTTCAGTCACATACTAGTCTGTTGTTTTTTGGTCTAATTTAGGTTTTTGTATCGTATAGCGCCTCAGTCTACCTCAACTGGTTCCAGACATGGCAACAAAGCCAGAAAACGAGGCAGTAAAAGATGTGGAAGATAACTTCGTAATTTTGACAACATTTGACAACATGGCTGACAGTACAATGTCTAACGCTTCCACTATTCCTGAAAAACAAACCTTTGAAAGCCAGGAAAAGCTCTCTGAGAGTTCAGAAGTGTCGATCGATGAGAAACCGAAGCATTCTGATACTTCTAGCAGCTTGGGAGGGGAGCCAAACACCGATAGTTTCAGCAGTTTGGGAGATTCAATGATAAATGTTTTGCCTTACTACGAAAGTTCTCAGTTTATTGAAAAACAATTGGAATTGGAGAGAGAGTTAGGTGTGCTAGGGGAGGGGGATGGAAGAGAGAAGGGCAATGAGATTTATGGTGAGAAGGGTGGGTCTGCCAGTGGGAGTGGCAAGGGGGAAGAGTGTAAGGGTGAAGGTGATAATGTAGGAGAGGAGAGTGGGGGAGAAAAAGGAGATGAGATGTGTAGTGATCACATTGAAGGTGGTGAAGGTCAGGGTGATGACAAGGACTACAGGATAGAAAGGGCTAAGGGTGGTGGAAAGGGGGTAAAGATAAGAAGGGATGTTGTGTCTGGGAGTGATGAGGGGGGTAAAGTACAGGATGATAATGTAAAGGTGGAGAGTTATGGAGAAGGAAGGCCTAAGGGTGGTAAAAGAAGGGGAGAGATGGATAGAAGTGGGGGTGATATTGAAGGTAGTTGGATGCATGTGGAGGGTGAGGCTGGTATTGGTGGGGATGGGGGAGTGCAGGACTTAACAATGTCAATAGGTGGGGGGATGCAGAAACAGGGTGGAATTACTGCATTGCCAGGGAATATGGTCAAAGAACAAAGGAACACAGATGATGAGGCCATGGATGAGGAGAGTGGGGCAGATACAAAGTTGGTAGGAGGGGAGAAAGAGAAGGAGGAGGAAATGAATAAAGGTGAGGATGGTGAAGATGATGACAAGGGTGAAACAAAGGCAGGAGATAAAGTTCAGACAAATGTGGAAGATACACAAACAAGTCACGTTGAAGATATTCCATCAGAAGGACAAACTGAAGTTCATCAAGAGCATTCAAGTGCTGAAGATGAAATCCCTGTTGATGACAGTACACAAGTCCAAGACGGTAGGTAGAGAAAACTTATTAATCCATTGAGTGCCAGCGCTCTCCCCTTGACGAGTAAAATCATCTGGTGTTGGACAGAGTAAAATAACAACGTACTATATGGTGCATTAGGACACAATGCGACTCAATGGGTTAATGATGTCTGTAGTTAGTGTACAGCAATCTTTTTTCAAAACAGAGTATTGCTTTCACTTTTGTATAGCAAGTTCTACTCAAATTCTCTGTCATGTGCAAAATATTTTCAATTAGAAAGTATTATTGCTACTCTTGCAGATAGTTCACATCAAATGGGTGAAAGTTCAGAGTCAGTGGTGGGCTCAGATGATGGTTTGGGAGATCAAGGAGGAAATATGGAAGGTCTTGTTGCTGTTGAAAGTTCCACTGATGCAGGGGGACACCATGTCACAGGCTCTCCTGGTGAACCTCCCTCCAGCCAAACAGAACAAAGTCAAACTGAATCTGCTAATGAAGATTGTGCCCAACCAGATGATGGTACCTACAACTGCAGTGGTTTTGACCATTCCCAAGCTAACCAAGCCGGACAACCTCGCCCAGATCTTAACCCACCTTACCAAGATCCCCCAAGGCTACCCATACAATCTCAACAAGCTGACCAACAAGAACCTAACGAGCTACAAAACCCACCAGATGATGAGAGAGCTGCCGAGAGAGCTGCCGAGAGACCTCCACAAAGAAATCAACCCATTGTACGCAACCCGAGAGCCTCATGCTGTTCAACGCTGTTCCTCGTTGCTGTTGTTGGTGTATTATGTTCCGTTGGTTTTGTGTTCATCAGACCCCATATACCAACAATGATCTTCTGGCCAACCAAGGGTTCACTCCCCAAGCCAATTATAGAAATCAAGACCAAGACCCATGTCTCGCTATCTGCATCAAGTCTGAAACTAGCAGCCGAATGTAAGGCTTACAATACTTCATATACCATACAGCACTGCCAGTGGAGACAAATTCACCCGCAACCCACATCCCCTGAGAATACCGTTCTCCCAGGGGGGACCAAAGATTGCCCACGTACCACATCCATCAATCACCCACCTACCCACAATGTAGATGCCACCCTCCAGGGTTTAAAAGTCCCCACCGATCTGGGGACCTATATCTTTGAGTTAGCTTGTGGACACGAACCTGGAAACTCCGCTACCAAAAGAGTTGAAATCTGGGTGAATGAATTAAATCCACCTATAATCTCTGTAGCCGAGCCCAAGGTAGTTGTGTCTACTTCTACAGGTACTGCAAAACTAGATGTCTCATGCAGAGCTGTGCATGGGAAAATTGTGGAGAAGAAATGGGAGTATATTGACGGACCACCAGAGCTGGAGTACGTCACACCCTCGGAGAATGGTGTGGTACAACTTTCTCAGCCTGGTATCTACAAATTCAAGTACAGATGTACTGACAGCTTCGGTGGCACCGCATTAAGGTAATTTAGTAAAATTGGAGTTGATTGATGTACATGTGTACAGTACATGCTGTTGCCATCTCTGATTGGTGAGCTATAACGCGGCCAAATGTGCCACACTTGAATATTCTAGTGCCGGGAATCATTTTGTTACGATGTTTGCCCCAAAAGCCAAGCTTATCTGGGGGGCTCACATATACAAAAAGGATATATAAAATTATTTATACAATATTTCAAAAACTCATTAATAATTCATGAGCAATTATCCAATCTTGAGCAAGAAATTAGTCACGTGCATGTGTCTTTATACCAGCTAAAGAACACTTTAACAAAAGACCATTGTTATGCAAACTATATAAAGATTTTTATATAAAGATTTTTGTATAAAGATTTTTATATAAAGATTTGACTTATTATATATATATATATATATATATATATATATATATATATATATATATATATATATATATATATATATATATATATATATATATATATATATATATATAATAAATCGTTGTCCGTTGTACAAAAAGAGTGCTCAATAACAAATTTAATTGATAGAGCAAAATATACTAATTATAATCTTAAAATTTTATTAATGCGATTAATAAAATTTTAAGATTATAATTAGTATATATATATATATATATATATATATATATATATATATATATATATATATATATATATATATATCTATATATATATATATATATATATATAGTTTTTCTTTTTACCTCAAAAAACCACAACAGTCTGTTTCATCCATATAGGAATCATCAGACCACCTGATGATTCCTATATGGATGAAACAGACTGTTGTGGTTTTTTGAGGTAAAACGAAAAACTATATTACGCTCTATCTATATGGTATTGAGCACTGTTTGTGTTTCGCAAACCAAAATCTTAAGCTATATATATATATATATATATATATATATATATATATATATATATATATATATATATATATATATATATATATATATATATATATATATATATATATATATATATATATATATATATAGATGACAAAATACAATATTCGTATCAACCAGTTCGACATTTATATACAACAGAATAGCTGGCTACGATCCGAGAGAAACCAATACTAAAAATGTACTAAAGTAATAAAGTTTTAATTTTCGACTGAATGTCTCAGCCTTCCTCAGAAATAATATTACTAATAATTTCTAACGTATATATATACACCAATAATATGCAAATATTACAATAGTGATAACTAATTAAGCTTAGTGATAGACAAAGAAGTCACTGTTGCACAAAATCATGACTATCATTTAACCCTCCCCGATTAGTCAAAAGGGTCCCAATCCAGAAGTTTTCACATTCCAACAGATTACCACAACGCTGATCAATCAGCATAAATTTCAAATATGAATGATCAGCCCAGTGGCAATCCAGGAAGTGATTAACAATACTACAAGTTCTGTGCCCACGCTTAATGTGTGACTTGTAGTTTGCAAGGCGGGCCTTAAAATTAACAGTAGAACCAACACCCTGCAAACCACAAGCCAAACATTCGGCAAGATATACCACTGCCTTGGACGTACATGTAAGCGATTTACAGATTTTAAAAACTTTCTTGGTAATAACGGAACGAAAAGTGTGCCCTTCTAACAAAAAATTCTTACAGCAGTCACAACGCTTTGCTATACAATTAAAACAACCGAATTGTTCTACTTCGGTATTTTCCTTGCCATATGGGTTGGAGGGAGCCAATAACTCCTTTAAATTGGCGTTGCGCTTAAAAGACACACGAATAACCTTCTCGGGTAGAATATCTCTAGCCTTCTCATCACCACAGATAATGGACTTGTGATGTTTATTTATGATTTTTCGTATGTCTGGTCCACGCGGATTATACTTAGTAACTAAACAACAATATCCTTCATTGGACTTTGTCTTACTTTTGCGTGCATCTTCCCTAGAAATATTACCTACTTCCCTAAATTTATCTAAGACATGTTCTTTTTTGTGTCCGCATTCAATTAAATAATTAGCATATTCCGCACTTTTGGCACGAAAGTCCTCTTCCTTGGAGCATATCCTACGTATAGTCTAAGCGCTACACCCTTTGCGATACCCAGTAGCTGTGATCTGGGGTGACACGAATTGCCATTCAGATATAAATGCGTATCGGTGGGTTTACTATAAACAGACGTTTCCAAACGACCTTCTTCGATCGTAATAAAGAGGTCCAGAAAACTCAAAGAACTCCCGCCTACTTCCATAGTAAATTGTAAATAGGAGTCGAATGAATTTAATGTATTGAAAAAACTGTGCAGTCTTTCCACCGTACCACGCCAAAGTGCAAATGTGTCGTCCCGAAAACGAAACCAGGATCGCAATTCAGGGTACAACGCTTTAGACTCTAAAACCTTTTTATCGATGTTCGCCGCCACAATATCTGCATAGGAACAAGAAATTTTAGGTCCCATAGCAGTACCATTCTTTTGAAGCCAAAATTGTCCACGGTAAGTAGAACAATTTTTCTTGAAACAAATTTCTAATGCCTCAATAATGCATTCAACAGGCAGATCCAAACTATCCGAGAATTCCGTTAATTTGCAACGCACTCTCTCTACCCCCGTGTCATTATCAATAGAAGGAAACATGTTGATAATATCAAAACTCACCAACATGTCTCCGTCTAATATTCCTTTTTCATTGAGACTATCAATTATCCCCAGCATGTGCGAAGTATCCCTTACACGGCAAGAAATGGAATCCACTACAACTTTACAATACTTTTCCACAAACAGAGACAAATTTGTTTTCCACAAACAGAGACAAATGGAAAGCTGAGACATTCAGTCGAAAATTAAAACTTTATTACTTTAGTACATTTTTAGTATTGGTTTCTCTCGGATCGTAGCCAGCTATTCTGTTGTATATAAATGTCGAACTGGCTGATACGAATATTGTATTTTGTCATATATATATATATATATATATATATATATATATATATATATATATATATATATACCAAATATGTATTTAGAATCATATATGAGTAGAGTGCTCGATATACCAAAGTATAGAGCGACATTTAAATTCACCTGATGAGTGTGGCAAGCATTGCTTGTCATACGAAACAAGTTTGTAGTGAATAAATCTTATGAAGTAAACCAGGTTTATTTTATCTTTATATATATATATATATATATATATATATATATATATATATATATATATATATATATATATATATATATATATATATATATATATATATATATATATATATATATATACGGGTTC